AATCAAATAAAAAGTCTATCCTAAATGTCTAATATAAATAATTTGAAATTTGAAATAATTCAGATTAATGATCCCTTAGTACGGGGTCATTCCTATTCCTAATTCCTAATATATATTAAAGCAAAAGGGGTGCTCTCCCCTTTCGCTAAATGGAATATTACTGTAGGTGAGCATGCGTTGGGATCTCCCCTTTCTTTATATCCCCCCTTCTCTCTTTCTTTCTTCCTGCTCTCCCCGTCTTGTCTATCTATCTTACATTCTTACTGCCGCTGCCTCTCTTCATTTCTGTCCATGACCATGGCATACAAATATCATGCATCTAAACAAATCAATGTTTATTATATATTACATATAACATATATTTATATATCACATGTACTATAGAGTCAGGTTCGGATTGGGTCGGGTTGGCTAAGGAGTCAACCCTAACCCAACCCGAAGTAAAGTCGAGTTCATAAATTTCAACCCTAACCCTTACCCGAACATCAACCTGACCCAACCCAACCCAACTTTTTCGAGTTGGGTTAGGGTTGGGTTTGGGCCAACCCGGCCCAAGTTGCAGCCTTAATATGTGGTGCCAATAATGTGGGATTTCTTCATGGTTTTTGGTTTTCCATTCCAATGCAAGTCTTCTTGTTTTTCAAGTTTCCTCAGCAACAGCACTTGGGCTCTCAAAAGCTTCGGTGATTTTTTCTTCATTTCTTTTCCTTTTTTTATGATTGTGCTTACTGGGAATGGCTAGATACTGGGTATATTTACTAGGTTTCTAATGGTTTGGTGTTTTTTGTTGGTTGGGTTTTTTAATTTATTGGTGTTTTTAGATTTTTGCTTTTCTTGTTTTGTAGGATTTGTGGTGCCAGTAATGTGGGATTTCTTCATGGTTTTTAGTTTTCCAATTGGGTGTATGTCTTTGGCTTTCAAGGTTCTTCAGTGGCATCACCTTTGTACACGTGCTCTGTTAGGAATAATCCTTTTATACTTTCCTTGTGCAAATCAGAGATATCTTAACCAACAAATAACAAATATGCAGTAATAAATCAAATAGTCAAATACAAAACAAGCAACAGTAGTAGACACCAAGATTTACGTGGAAAACCACTCAATGTGAGGGTAAAAACCACGGGACCGAAATCTAAATCATCCACTATCAGTAATGAAAATGGGATACAATGTTTTTCTATCTAGTCACAACTAGATGATGAACATCAAGAAAGCTCTTGTGGTCCAACAATAGAAAGCATCTATAAAATAGATACCAAATAAGAAATATCTCACCAAAAGTGGAAGTAAGAAGAGATGTTGAAAACGAATTTGTCTTCTTTGTTTCAGCCCTTGTAAATCTCCTTCTTCCAAAAATCTTCTTCTCAAAACCAATTTTGTATTCTCTGATATTTCCTAGAGAGCTGTTAGAGTTTAAAGAGTGGAGAGAGAGCTCTCTCAATTCGTTGGACACCAAAAAACATATCAGCTTGCAAGACAAGTCAAAAAATACAAAAGGCCCTTTTAGTTGATTTCCCTTTTTTGTCATTTTCACTTTTATTCATTTGTCTTTATTATTTGTGGGTCCCCACCTCATGAGGAGGACAACCCAACATGCTCTCCAAAGCTTTGATGTTTTTTTTGATTGTTGAGAGTTCCAATTTATTGGGATAGAGGATTTATTCATTTTCTATTTCTCGTAGGTTTAATGGCTTATGGGATTTTGTATTAGCTTCATTGTTCTATTTATTTTCTTACTTTTTTTCTTCTCGAGTTTAACTGGTTGAATTAATCGTAGGTTTAATGATTTCTGGGATTTTATTTTATCTTCATTGTTCTGTTTATTTTATTTTGGGGAATTAAACGATAGAAGAGACATAATTTATGTTTATTTTTATATTTATTTTTCTTTGTTGGTTTAGCTTTGGTTTTGATATATGTTCAATACGAATAAAGACATTAGCTTTAGTGTAGTTTTCCTTTCTTGATCTAATTAGAGTGAAGTTCTGCTTTTATTTTTACTTAGAAGACTTTCTATTTGCTTAAGATTAGCTTCGCAAATAAAATCACTTTTGAAAATCTCCATAGTGCCCATTTAAATCTTATCTATATTTTGGTTCCCTTGTCCATGTTTACAAGCTTTTGCCTCCCCCCTATTCCATATTTATTAGTTTTTGGCCCCTCAAAGAAAAAATCGTAGCTCCGCCCCAATAGTGAGGTATTGACAATAGGAGTAGAAATATTAGGCCCATTGGAGAGGAGAGAATGATGGGTTTCCTCTATGTGAGATGATGCTGCATAAGCAATTTGCAATGGATCAAAAGGTTTGTGCTCCATGATAACCTTCCAACGAGATTTTCAGATGTGCCAAAGTATAATGGACCCTTGGACAATGATAGAAAGAATATCGGCATTCAAAGGGTCATCCTTAGTAAACCAAGTCGATAGCCAATCATGGAAAGACTACAAAGAATGAACATCAACATGCATGGAAAGACCACAAAGAATGAGCTAATCATGAAAGGGCTACGAAGAAAAATAATATTTATTCTTTACATCCATAGGAATTAAAACAAGGGTTAGAGTATACCAGAGGCGGAGCTAGAAAATTTTCATGAGGGGACCAAAACCTAAGGTGGATTGGGGGAGGGGAAATTTTACATGAAATAGTGAGGATTTTTGGGCTATAGGGGGGTCATGGCTCCCCTCGGTCCCCCTGACCCCACCCCCTGTATCATATCTTTCTTGATGGTTTTAAAAACTAATCCAAAAACGAAACTACTTTGACCAATGATTCCTGATTGTACGGTCTAACCATCCCGTCCGAACCCTAGTTAAACAGTTTTGAGGTCCATGACCATGGCAACTGTGATAAGGGCATTAATCTGTTGAATATGATCATTAATCCAGTACTCAACGAGTGGAAACCATGAAAACTGATGTATGGTGTGTTATGTATTGATTAGGGCTGTTTATAAGAAGGCCCAACCCGATCAAATCGACTAACCCAGACCGACCCAACCCGAGTTGGCCGGGTTATCTTCAGCACCGGTCAGTTTCAGGTTGTAAAACATCATAAACCGATGGTTTGGGTCAGTTTCAGTTTTCTTGTGTGAAAACCGAAACCAACCCAAACCAAAACGACTAATTGTCCCTTTATGAAGTTTAAAGTAATTAAGCCCCCATAACTAATTGTCCATCTTCAAATCTATTACATTGGCTAGATTAATGATTGTAATTAACTGTCCTGAAGTCTCCCTACTAAATTCACCCAAATCCCAATTAAGACAATTAAACTTCAAAATGAATATATAATCAAAGGGATAGGTTGGTGGTTTTGGAGATAAAACTTAATTACTGAAAAGATATAGAACATATATACCTCTATAATAGGCATTATTATTATATATGGGTTTTGCTCTTCTTCTCCTCTCCAAAGTCCAAACTGTGGACTAGAGGTATATTATGTTTATCAAAAACAAGGCTTTTCACGCGTTCACTACCTCACATACTGTGGTGCCACAGTCACCACATATATATTGCAATTGAGTTTCTGTCAAGCATGGTTGAACTTAGAGCCGAAACCGACCCAAACCGATCCAACCCGACTCAAACCGACCAGGTCGGTTTTGCTTAACACTAGGTCGATTTCGGTTTCAAGTTCAGATAACCCGACCAAATCGGGTCGATTGGAAAAACCTCAATAAACTGAACCAACCTGATCCATAAACAACCCTAGTATTGATAATTTGATAAATACATATAGATACTTTGAACCTTTTGTTTCATTCATTTTTATTTGTGCAAAAAAMTGAAATTGCATTAAAAGCAAATCCATTTTGTTAGTATGTTTTTTATTAAAAAAGGAGAGTATTATTAAATCTAATGTTTTTTGGGAAAAGTATGTATAGATTCAATGCAGATTTCTTATTTTCATGCGAAGTTATAAATATTTAAAAGGTTAAAAATCCTCACTCTATACATTAATGCCCGCTGGTGAAAACACTAAACGCCTAAAGTACAGTTGGGGTGAATGCCAGATCGGAATTGATGTATAAAATGGGGGCTTTTCACATTTTGAATGTTTATAGCTTTACAGTGTAATTCCGTTTTTTTTTTTTCCTTAAAACATGTATGCATGCAGGGGGGGAGAGAGAGTTGGGTCCATCGTTGGGCCGTCTTCGCACCCTTTCTTTACTACTCTCTATTTGGCTAAAACTCTGATATTTGACCAATTTTGGTTTACCAATCTACTCCTCAACTTTGACGGAATAATGAGGAGTGGCTATAATTTTCTCAACCTCAAATTTGACAAAATTACCCCCCTAAAGATTAATAATAAATGATGATGTAATGGGGATGTACTGTACTGACCATCAGATTAGTATCCAGCGTCTCAAATTTTGCCACTTGTCCATCTGCTCAAGAAAAGCTTCTCTGTGGACCCATCCAATAGTTATGGGGGCCACCACTCACCAGTTTTATCATTATTTTCATTTGTTGCTTGTTGGGTCATGAAAGGAGAAAGGAAAACCCTGTCTCGAGCTCACACGTTTCTCGTCTCTCTCTCTCTCTCTCATCTCTGAAAACTGGAATCACGTCCTTTACCTGCCGCCGCCACGCGAACTGAGCCGGTTCCCTCCCTCCCTACTCCCCACTCCCCCTCCAGTCCCTTTCATAGTGCCACGTCATCACCTAGAGAAACGATATTCCCACGTCCTCTGGAATTCACTTCCGCTCCCTTCGATGGTTGATGTTAAAGCCACGTCACCATGATCATAAGACTCTCTAAAACATGAGCCACGTGGCTTTCTTATCTACCATTTATGAGAGGAAGTTTTGATTTTGAATCCGACGGTTTTAGGTTAAAGGGAAGTGGTGGGTGGACCTATGGTCCAGGAGGGTTGCAGAAAGAAAATACTAAAAAGCCCGTAAGAGAAATTATTTGGAGAATTCTACAAAATACTAAAAAGGACAGGTTACTGTACGAAAACAACCCAAAGATGTTAGAGAGGGAGAGGGGGAGAGAGAGAGAAGAGAAACGAGATAAATGAAACAGGAACCAGAAAGAAAAGCTTACAGTTCAGAAGTAGTGAGGAGAGAAAGAGAAGCAGAGATAGAGATGAAGGAAGCAACGAAGGGATTGACAAGCGAGGAGAAGGTGGCGATAGGGATGATAGGACGGAGCGCGAGTGAGAAGGAGAGGACGAAAATGAGGGAAAGACAGAGAAGGGCCATCACCACTAAGATCTTCAACGGTTTGAGGAAGCATGGTGGTTACAACCTCCCTCCTCGGGCTGACATCAATGACGTTCTCCGTGAACTCGCTCGTGAGGCCGGTTGGGTTGTCGAACCCGACGGCACCACCTACCGCGCTACCTCATCCACTACCACCATCACCACCCCACCCAACGTAAGCCTTCTTCCTCTCCGGCTCCTCTTCTCCTTTCTTTTTTAAGCCATTATTATCTTACTGGTTGGACACTTGGAGTACGACATGTTTGATTTTATCCATTCTTTCTTCCTAGATGGTGGCAATGGAGCAGGTGTCCCACTTCCAGAGCTGCTGTAGCACCTGCATCACCGGAAAAGGCAGCGGCACCCCTACTCCTACCAGTAGCTTCGGCGGAGGAACCGGAGGTGACTGCTCCACTACCGCCTCCCCTCGCCATGCGACCTTTTATGACGCAACCCCACCTCGTGCTGGCCCTGGCTGTGGTGGTAATGGCAGCGTACCCACCTCCTACCTCGGCTCCCACTTCGGCATGCCCTACGCTCGCAGCGTTCCTGGTATTGGCGTTGGCGCTATGCCCCACCTCTCCACCGCCCAATCTCTGGCCTTCATGATGCCGCAGCAGCATCAGCAACTCTACTTCCAGGAGACCAGAGCGTCCAACCAGATCACTCCCGTCGCGTCTCCGCAGCAGCGCCGTACTTAGAAAAAGAAAAGGGCACTGTCACCAATTTTTGTCCTACTCCACTCACCCTTCTTTTTGAGAGTACATCTGAGAATTCTCTCTATTTTCTTTTCTTTTTTGAGTGCAATCAGGAAATTCAGAGAACCGGGAATTGGTTCTTTCAGTTCTTCGCCCCTTGATGGTTGAATTGGACAGTGAACCCTCTTTTTGTGTGTGAAAAGTGAAACAAGAAAAGTTTATAATGTAAAGGTTCATGCTTCTTTTTCTATAAAACATTTTCAAATGTTTAATGGGTTCAATTATTCAATGCCACCACGGGACTCGTACATTTGACAAGGAAAAGAAATTAAAGCTCTTAAGGTTAGGGTTGCCGAAAACTTTTACTCAAAACATTGAAACATCAAAGAACACAAATTGTTGGTCGTAGGCACAGTTTGGAAGAGTACAAATACAAATATGTAGTATTTGTATTCCTTCCAAACTGAGCCTAAAGCACAAATCCTTGTCAAAGGTTTCTGAGCAATTGTTCGTTCTAAATTGTAGACAAGACATGGTCAACGATGTCACAGAAAGATCCCAAAGTTAGCGGCTGTTCATGGAATCATGGTAGCGAAACCACTGTTTGTTACAAAGTATTCTGATACTTCTCGCTTGTGCAAACTAAACAATGCCAAATTTAACTTTTCCAGATACAGAATTACAGTGGACTTTCATGACATCCAAAAGCTAAATCCAACCATAAGTCATCCCCCCCCCCCCACAAAAGAACATGGATGAGAGGGTAATAGCTGTTCTATCTCGATTTCTTGCTCTTATAGCTCTCAATCTGTCATGGGTAACCAGGGATTTCTCCAGGAATTGGAGCCAATTCGTTCCTACTAAACCTCTCTTCATCATAAAAGGATGCACGAACCACTCTCCCACCAAAGAAACGGCCATCAAGATCAACAAATGCTTTAGTCGTCGCCTCTGACCTATCAAACTGAACAAAGATTCTAACAGCCTCATCCGCCGGGAAATCTGGCTCTGTAATTTCAAAAATGAGAACCCTCGTTACTATCCCATACTTGGCACACTCTGATGCTACCTCGTCTTCAAGCTCATCATCAACTTCTCCTGGCCCCACCTGTGAACAGAAAGCACGACACGGTTACAACTGACAAGGCACTTCCGGTTCCAGCTCGATTCTAATAGTGCAGAAAGTTTCATAGACCATTCACTAATACAACATAAAAAAGCACTGGAATACAGAAATCAAAACATTCAACAACATCAAATTTACGAATCCTTCATAAAATTATGAAATCAGTTTATTTACAAGTCAAAAAGCCTGACCATCAATTGAACGAAACTGATGAATGACCAAAATATTATAATATCTCGTGTCAAAAGCAAAAAATAATCTACACCTAAAATCATGTGTTGCTGATCAAAAAATTAAAAAAAAAAAAAAAAAAAAAAAAAACAATCTATACCTTGTCAGGTCAGAAAGAAAAATGGCAGAGTATGCATAAGCCAAGATTCAGAAATCAACATGATGACAAGGGGGTTAATATTGTAATTGTATCTTTCTTACTATGCTACTTTTGTACACTGCTGTATGTTATTTATTCTTGTAGGGACAACTATCCATCCACTCAATAATATATAGAGGGATAAGTAGGCTGCACTCCACCTCAGAATTCTGAATTAAACTGAATCAGCCCCCCACAACACATCTCCGCCGTGTATTGGGAACACTAATTAACAGCAATTGCTTTCAAGTGACCCTGTAATCCTCCATTCAATAAGATATAGCATGCTGGCCCTTGCCCACACCAGAATGCATAATCATTGTTCTGAATTTTCTTTGATACAGAATAGAATGAAAAAAATATATCGTGTCAAAACAAAAAACGATAGACAATCTACACCTTGTCAAAATGTCAAAGTCAAAAAGAAAAATGGCAGAGCATGCATAACACAAGATTCAGAAATCAACATGATGATAACAGTTCTAATTGCGAGTTGGTTTAGAACACTAATTAACAGCAGTTGGTTTCAGGTGGCCCCACAGAGTGCATAATCTTTCTTCTGGAAATTTGCTGACAGAACAAAATGGCAAAACACAATTCATGTAGCCAACCCCATGTGGTTGGGATAAGGCTTAGATGATGATGAGGTAAAATGCTTCATATGACACATTAAATTTGTGAAAGTTGTCGTATAGAAGAAAAGGGAAATTGTAGAAAGGTGCAAGTTCTACAGGTCAAAGAGAAAATGGAGCACATTGCTATTCTACCAAAAAAAAGTTAGCATGTGGCTAATAACCACTACATTTTTCGGTAATCAAATAAAACTTGTTAAAAGGAAAAAAAGAAATTACAAAGGAGTGACCAGAAGTCACTCAAGAGAAAAAGAATAGAACAAAACTTTAAAATCCAACACAAGAATTCCAAGACATCCTATCCGCAATAAAACCAGCTGAAACCCACAAATCACCACAAAACAAAACCCCAGAACAGAAGACCCAAAAACAGCCCAAAGACAAACTCAAGACTCAAAGCCAAACAAAGAGAAGAACCACTTCAAACCCATGAGCACACATCCTTACTCGATAACAACCACAGCCAAAAACAACTCACAAGCTATGACATTTGATCCACTAAAAGGCTAACATCTTCTTTAGGTTTTCTTGACCTTCAACAAATTCTTGTTTGGTCCAATTCCAAAGAGACTTCCTTTTAGTCTCACAAACGCTTTTGACACCAAGACAATTACTATGTTTTCTTGGTTTTTCAAGTCTTCTATTGGTCACAACAATTTTCTTGGGTTCCAACAAACAAAAAGGGTTCTCATTAATCCTAAAACAAAATCTTGTTTGGTCCAATTCCAAAGAGACTTCCTTTTAGTCTCACAAACGCTTTTGACACCAAGACATTACTATGTTTTCTTGGTTTTTTAAGTCTTCTATTTGCTGCAACAATTTTCTTGGATTCTAACAAACAAAAAGGGTTCTCATTAATCCTTTCTAATTCTAGGACAGTGTTCTTCTAAAAAAAACTGAACATCCACCAACTCTCTAGTTCTTTCATTATCAGCTTCTTTTGGTCTAATTGTACTCGAGTCAATATAACTCTCATCAGTCAGTGCTGGATGCGCTTGAAGATCTCCACCATTGTCCCACACAGGCAACTCATAACATTGCTCTAACATGAAAAATCTCCTCGTGAAGGATTCACCTCCCAACACAAACAAACCCAGGGTTTTACCCATCTCCATTGTCACATCAACCACTTCGTTCAAGTCAATGGCCTTGTCAATGCAGTGTCTTTCATCCATAAGACCTTCCTCTTCCATTAGTTCACTGAAACTCTCAGTTTTGTCAGCAGTCATCATCTTCTTTGGCTTTTATTTGCTAATATTTTATAACCTTCAATGATGATTTATTTGATGACTTTTGGGAACATGATAACCTCCCTCCCTAAGTTTATGTTTGTTTTGAAGGAAAAGGTAGGGAAAAGAAGGGAAAGGCAAGGAAACCTAATACAAGGTTTGTAAAGGTTTCCTTAACTTTCCCTTCCTTTCCCTACTTTTTCCTTCAAAACAAACACAGCTTAAGGGTTTGTATAGGAAGTGATTCCCATTCTTCTTAATTGAAGGAAATAGTCATCTATGCATAATGATTATTCATGTTTGCCTGCTTCTGTGTATGAATGAATGTGTGTGTGTGTGTGAGTGAGTGAGAGAGAGAGAGAGAGAACTAGTTGGGTCATTTAGTGATAATCTAGACAACCAAAGAATCTTTCGATGGGCAAGATTCCCCCTCACAAGTTTTTATTCATGGGACAAAATACATCTTTTGTCACAATACCAAAATGAATCCCTTCTGGGATACCTTGAGTTAAATATTTACTTAAAATATCTCCTATTGTTAAGAGAGAACACCAATACATGGCRGGAAATGGGGCTAACATGGACCGGGGGAAGTGAGCATCTTTATTAAAGAGAAAGATGTACAAAATAAGGTTAGTTTGAAAGAGAGTATCTTTATTAAAGAGAAAGTGCATGAAATGATGTACAAATAAGGCTAGCCTGACGCAGGGTACAAAGGCACTATCACTATAAAGGTTTTCCCTGTGTGCACCAGGCTTGACTAAACTATCTGCTACAGAGATTAGAGCCCTGTGAATCCAGATTAAAGTTGCATTCAAGGAGAAGAAACATGAAATCCCAAACAAATCATACACAGAAAGAACCTAAGCAAAGAGAAGAAATCTATTAGGATTAACCACAAAATAGATGGATATGGGATTCTTTTTCTCTGGGAACACATGCATAGGCTTCCTCTGGCAGGCAAGGCAGAAACATCCAACATTTAGCTCAAACAAAAGAAATTAATAGTTGGAATCCACATTGGCTCCACACAGAGCGCACCCCACAGCACATCCCAACCGTGCATTGGGAACATCTTCCGTACTTGTCACGGGGAGATGTTCCCAATACACAGTTCGGATGTGCTGTTGGGCACACTGTGGGGAGCTGATCTGAACTCTAATAGTTGTAGGATAAAATATATGTTATAATTTATATAAATATAAAATTATTATGTGTCATTTTATAATATATTCTCAAGGAACCATTGAACCTAAAAGCTTAAGTTGTTAGGTGAGGTCCCTGAATAGGTTTTATATATATTGCGGGCTCAACCTAAAGTTCCAGGCCCAGGCACAGCCTAGAAATGATCATCCTATCCACCATTAGGTACTGTACATTTCTGGGAAGCAACCTAGCCACTTGGAAGACATGAAATAAAAGTACAGACGCAAGGTGCAGTGCAGGAACAGAATATTCATGACTAGGGGTGATCATCCAGGCTTAGCACCTATTATAAGAGGCCCAAAGCTTGATAAAGGAGGAGGGCTATGTCACTTTGGAAGCCAACACTGAAACTTCTGCAGAACCCTCATGATTTTTTTTATCAGCAACACAGAAGATTCATTAAATTACCAGAATATTGTAAAACAAGAAGTTGTGCTAAACAAAAAGTCCACATAAACCCCACTAATTACAATACAAACCCAAGCTTAACCCAAGAAACAAATTCATTAGTTATAGACCAGCCCCAAAGGATATCCCACTAGCTATAATGTAGCCCAGAACATAGATTGCCTTTGGACTCCTTGCTTAGCTAGACCATGAGCTATGCTATTAGCTGACCTCCTAATCCATCTTATGTGAATTTCCATATCTTTAGAAGCCTGCTTAAAGTGCCTGAACTCATTTCTTAATCTCCAGATTGCTCCTTCCTCTTTTTTCAACCAGTTTACAACAACTTTTGAATCGCCTTCAATAATCAACCTGTTAATCCCCAACTCTTTAGCTTTCTCAACACCAAACACTGCTGCCTTCAATTCTGAACTTACCACATCACCATACTRGATAGGGCCTGAGAACATGGCAATGATATTTCCATTCTCCTCCCATATTACCCCACCAATACCCGATGGGCCAGGGTTTCCCAAACAGCTACAATCAAAGTTTAGCTTCTTCCACCCAACATCCGGAGGGGACCAAAATTCAGTTACAATAGGTCTTCTAGAAGCAATATTTGCAATTCTTCCCCATGACCTGAAGAAATCTTCCATCTTAAAATCGGCAAAGATTTTCCAAGTTTTCACCCAATGTGCCACCCTTATAGCTATCACTTCAATCACAGTATCTCTACCTCTTTCCTAATCATCAAATATCCTCAGATTTCTTTCCTACCAGATTGTCCAAGCCACTGCTACTCTAGTGCACTTTCCCATCACTTTGCCTCTCCTTTTAGAGCACCTGAATATGTTGGAGCTGAAAAGATCTTCTAGATTAGTAGGAGGGTTCCAGCTGCAACCAAACAGAGAGGAAAACCACTCCCAACTAAAGTTAGCAGCAAAAGGACAGGAAATAAAGAGGTGAAAAGCAGTCTCACCATTCAGCTTACATAAGGAGCACCAGTTTGGGGACAAGCACCACTTTAGTCTCTTCCTCTGAAGCAAGTCACAAGTGTTGATGCAACCACGGAAAACTTCCCAACAGAAAACACTGATTTTAGGAGGAATGGGCCGAGGTCAAATCTCCTTAATAGGGAAAGAAGGAGAGGAGGAG